CCCATTTTAGTCATACATTAGGCTAAATGCTGGAGATAAAGAAATTATTTGAATATCCTACTTTCTCCACCAATGTAAGTCAAAAAACAGCTATTGAGCTTAAGATGGTTTAAGTTCATGCTAGCAATTTGGAAAAGGAAAATATTAGTGAGACCTAGTTCCTGTCTCAAGAAACTCACAGATATGCGTGGGAGGTAGAAACAAATGGTGAAATCATAATACAAGGAAGATCATAAGTATTAAGAAAGAGGAAGAAAGTACTGTTGCTGTTTAGAAAGGAAAAAGAGATTCATTTTGAGTGTGAGGATATTATGAAGAAGGTTGGGATTTGAACTGGAGCTTTAACACTGCAGAGATTTCCACAAGCAGGAGTGGGCAAGGCACAAGAGAGAACGAAAGCAAAGGCCCAAAGATCAGAAGATCCTAAGTTTTTCAGACTCTGCTTCTTCTCCCTGCAGGGTGATTCTGGGGGCCCCCTTCATTGTTTGGTGAATGGCCAGTATGCTGTCCATGGAGTGACCAGTTTCGTGTCCAGCCTGGGCTGTAATGTCTCCAGGAAGCCCACAGTCTTTACCCGGGTGTCTGCTTACATCTCTTGGATAAACAACGTAAGTTTTTACAAATGATGGGTTAAAATAGGGTCACTGGGAGATTCACACACTGCCTGGAGTAAGGAACCAAAGTTGGGCTGGCAAAGCCATCATCCTCACATTCCTGTGGTCCCCTCTTCCTCTTCCTCCATAGTGCAATAACCCTCAATAATGCCATCTTGAGGTCCCCTTCACACTCCCACTGAGCAGCCTTCACCATGATGTTTATTGCTTAGGGTAAAATGATAACACAGAAGGTTTGAGTCCGACACCTATCAGTGTTGCCCTAAGTCAAAGCCAAGGGAGAAATCCCTTCAGAAAGGCTGACACTCTTCTGGACAAGGGAAGGAAACACTGCTATCCTCTCTCAAAAGTTCTTTTATAGGCTTTATGAGAATTTGCTCTACCCTTTGGAGCGTGGTTTTGCCATCTGAAATAATGCTGAAGAGTTATGTCTAAGACTCTGCCTCTACTGACCTAGCAGGAAAGCCCCACAACTCATTTCACCTCCAGCCTTCAGATACTTTCTGGAGCCTTGTGGCATTGGCCTTGGCCTTGGCTCGTAGCTATTTTTGAAGCTTGTCTTTACCTCTGCGTCCTGGGAATATGCCAGTACATTGAGGTGTCTTGTCAGCTAAAACCTGCTTCCTGCCCACTACATTCTCAATACAACTAGCACAGGAGCCATACTTAAGTGGGATCCCTAAAGAATAGAGCAAAGGGAGGTGGGCGGAAGTTACTAACCGTGGACATAACTGGTTTTTCCTTCAGGTTGTTGCCTACAACTAAACGTCTTCCTGAGTCTACAGCCTTCCCAAGGTGATTCTTAGGTCTTCAGAAAACGTGATGCCATCAAGGAAACCATTCTGCGAGACTATTGAGCTACATATAGCAAAGAAAATAAAATTGAATATACATTCACATCCTGTGTCTTTCTATTTGGAACTAAGCCTGCTGGAGGAAATGCAATTATAGGTCCAGGCTGGACTTCACCACATTTCTGGGCTGGTTCCTCACTTACATTGCTGCCAACCTTACTAGTCCACAAAGTAAGCTAAATGGTTGTACATTACCTATTTTGAATTATTTTAGGATCTAAGATCTATCCATTAATCTGGTCCCCTACCTCACCTCCACATTTGCTTTATTTAAGGCACAGAGAGTGCTTTAAAGTGTTCCTGGCCAACTAAATTTGCCCTGACTCTCCTGGACACACCGTGGTTTTTCCTTTGGTTTTCTCTTCAGCATCCAGAACAAGCACTCACTCTAACTACTGGGATACACTTCTTGCTTCTTGTTAAGTGTCATCCATCGAATTGATTCTGACTGATAGTGACCCTATATAGCGTTTCTGAGGAACAACTGGTGAGTTTGAGGGGCTGACCTTGTGATCTGAAGTCCACTGCCGATTTTACAGTGTAGGCTGTTAGGTAGGAATACAGGACTAGGCCATGAGTCAAATGCCAGCAGGCATAGGAAGCGATGAATTAGGAGATTAGGGGGGAATATAGAAAAAAAGGGGGAAAAAAAAAAAAAAAAAAAATAGGGGGAATATAGAAAAAAAGGGGGAAAAAAAGATACTGAGTAAAGAAAGGAAAAGGTTGAGAGGAAAAGGCAGAAGAGAACAGGAGAAAAAACAAGACAGGGCCTCAAGCTAAGTGTGAGTCAGCATTTCAAGGCTGGGACTAAAATAAACCACCGGATCCAGGGTTCTATAAACTGCTGAGAACTGGGAAACTGATCTTTCTGCTTCACCCTGGCCAGGGCTCAGTCTGGTAAAGTCAGGGAGAAAGCAAAGGGGGAAATGAAAGGAGATTATGAGACTGAGTAATAATTTTTCCTAGCAGCCTCTGAAGACCAGACAAAAGAGAGTAGGGCAGTTAAATGACACGAGAAACTAGCTGAGGCCAGTCCTGAAATTGGTAGGTTGCTATATCCAGAGTCCTCTAGAAGGAAGCAGTGTTATCTAAGAGGCTCTAGAGTCAGGAGACCAGTGTTCTCCTCCCAGTTCTACCACTTAGGAGCTGCGTAACCTGGGCAAGTCACTTGCCCTTTTGTGACTCCGTTTCTCAATCCAGCAAACTTCTAAGCGTTATACCTGCTCTAATACTCCAATAATAACTTGGTAGCCATCAATTTCAGTTGTTCCCAAGAGACTGGCACTGAAGAGGGTTTTTTCATGGGCTACAACTATTGGGCTGTGTTGCTGAGGGTGCTGTGGAGACCTCAGCTTGTGACACACCTGTGATCACCATCTTCTCTTGTTGTTCCTACAGGATTATTACCCTCTGTGTACTCCTTGCCTCCCAATTCAACGTCAAGTCCTTCCATTTTCTTCACTCTGCTTCTTCCGGGCCCTCCTCTTAGCCAACACCCAGAATAATCACCTCTTACCGATTCTCCGTCTCTACAAATGAATTTAATAGTGGAAGTAGGGATTCAGTGGTAGAATTCTCACAAACACTACGAGACCCAGGTTCAATTCCTGGTTAACGCATCTGAAGCACAGCCACCAGCATAATTTTGAGTGTTCTATTTCTATGATGCTGAATGGAGCCCTGGTGTGGTGCTGTGGGTTAATGTGCTAGACTGTAAGGTCGGTTTGAACCACAAGGTGGGTGGTTCAAGCTCACCAACCACTACTCAGAAGCCCTATACAGGTTCACTATGAGACGAAACTGACTTGATGGCATTTAACAACAACAACAAAGATGCTGAACAGAGTCCTGGTGTGGCGCTGTAGTAGGATAAGCACTGGGTCACTAACCACAAGCTTGGCAGTTCAAACACACCAGGCACTCCTCAAAAGCCCTGTACAGGGTCGCTATGAGTCAGAACTGACTTAACAGCACTTAACAGCAACTGAACAGGTTTCAGAAGAGATTCCAGACTAAGATGGACTATGATAAAAGACGTGGTGATGATCTACTTCCGAAAAGCAGGCAATGAAAACTGTGGATCACAATGTTTTGTTCCCTTGTGCATGCAGTCACCATGAGAGGGAGCCAATTTGATGACAGGAAACAACAACAATGCATTTGACATATTTGACACATTACATGATATTCATGATTGCAATCTCTCCACCTCCAGACTTTCAACATTCACAGGCAAGGAATTTAATTTTATTCATTTTTAGCTTCACTAAATCCAGCAATGCCTGGTACACAATTGTATCTGAGTGTAGTGTGTTTGTTTGGAATAATGAACAGGAAAGCAATAGCAGAAAAGAATCTCCAATTTTTTCTGAGGCTTTCTCCTGACGCTCCTTACTAAATGTATTTTGAAATCTGTTTCTTCCCTTGAGGGAATTTTACCTCCACTAAAAAAGCACTAAGTAAATGGTTCATCCAAACCAACTGTCCTAAATTCCAGCTATTCCCTCAGGCAGGCCATGTAGTAACCTACATTTTGAGACTTTCTTCCTGGCAAAGCAAGTTATAATCTTAGCACCGCCTCTCAATTTGCACAATTTGTATCTTCACATCCTGCCTCTATCTGGTATGCTGTACTCCAACCAGCTAGAAAAACTTGCTCCTCAACCCCAGCAATCTATTTTTCATTGAATTTTTCTTTGTTTAGAACCTGTTTCTTATCTCTAACTCAGTTGTTGCTCCCTTTTCAAATCAAGATCTGGAATCCCTTCCCCATACCAGTCCCAGATTTAGCGCCAACCTTGCTGGTAGTGGTTTACCGTTTTTCAAAACGGCAGCCTACAGTAAGAAATACATACTACTTGGCGACCCAACATTCATCCCCATATAACTGAAATGCCTTCTCGTATACAATACCCTCACTGAGTGGACATGACAGTGTTTTCTAGCCTTTATTACAGTTCTTTTCCAGTGCTGATCGCCATAGCTCGCTTTCATTTCCTAAAGAAGGAGTCTTGGCCCCACATTTGCCAACCCTGTTCAACAGGACTGGTGCTCCTGTGGCTCAGGGCTGGCCTACGCCACACAAGGTGGACGGACAGAAGTAAGAGCGTCTTGAGGGCAAGCCCAAGTCTCCGCCCCCTCTGAGCAAGCCCAGCCCCCTAGCCAGGGCTCGGTGAGGCCCCAGCCTGGGCTGCTGCGTGGGCCTCGGAGCACCTGGTCTTTCTTGCTGACTAATGGATGAGCTACAGGGTGGTCTCAGCGTTGGGCTCGGGGAGAGGGCCTCACAGGGTGCACCGCTGCGGTGGGCTCAGAGTGGGCCTCGGCGTGGACCTTAAGGCAGCTCTCAGGGTGGCTGCACTGGGCCTCGCGCGGGGCGGTCTCGGGGGTCTCGGGGCGGCGGAGGCAGCAGGGCGGGAAGTGCGAAGCCCGGCCGCCGGATGTGAGGCATGCCGGGAGCCCGCACTTCCTCTCCTGGGGCCTCGAGAAAACCACAGGGCGCAGGCCGGGGCAGACGCCCCCAGGGATCGCCAGGATGGCCGAGGGCAAGGCTGGTGGCGGCGCTGCAGGCCTCTTCGCCAAGCAGATGCAGAAGAAGTTCAGCAGGGCCCAGGAGAAGGTAGGTGGTGGGCCTGACCTCCTGCTTGTCCCTGCGGAAACTAGCTTAGCAGGAGGGCGGGCTGGGGACCCCAGGAGCCCTGACCTGATGAGGACAGCCACTGACTTGGACTTCTCCGGGAGTGCGGAATGGGTTTCCATCTAAAGTGGACCGATTTGAGGGAGACTGGAAGAAAACCATCCCATCATGGGACTGCTGAGGAAACCAGTCTCTCCTAACAACCTAACAACCCTCAGGCTGGGTTTGGGGCCTCTGACCTAGAAAAGTTGCAAGAAAGGAACTGACTTGTTGAAAGGTTTATGTAGCAAGCTAGTGAGGTTGGTATTTTACAGATGATGAAATTCAAAGAGTGTCATTTTCCCCAAATTCAAAAACCACCAACGACTCGTCGTGATGTGTGATGCCGGCCAGTTATCTTGGACTGTTAAGTGCTGTTGAATCGGTTCCGACCCGTAACCACTCTGTGAATGATTTCTGAGAAGCGGTTGGTGGGCTTGAACCACTGACCTTGCCGTTCAAACTGACCAGCACATTATCCCTGCAGTGCCGCACCAGGACTCCTTATCAAGGACTTGTTTTTAAGTGCCGTCCAGTTGGCTCCGACCCATGTTGTTGTTGTTATGTGCCGTGGAGTCGGTTCTAACTCACAGTGACCCTGTACAGGGTTTCCGGGGCTGTAAATCTTTACGGGAGCAGAAAGTCTCCTCTTTCTCCCGCAGAACAGCTGGTAGTTTTCAACTGCTGACCTTGAGGTTCACAGCCCGATTTGTAACCATTACGCTACCAGAGCAAGGACTGGGAGCTCATTAAGGACTAAAATGAGTCTGCATAATTTTCTCTGTACCCAGCTCTCTCTAGCCTCTGGGTGTTGTTTAAACAGATGTAACCAGTAACTCTTATCTGCTTCCTGAAAGGTTCCTGTAGTCTCAGAATACCACCAGGGATGAGAAGGAGAAATTTTTTCTAGATTGTGTCCTTGGCTAGCCCTGGGTGACTTCACTGCAGCAGTAGCATTTCAGTTGGCTCTAACTTGTCCATGGGAGCTCTGGTAGCGTAGTGATGACAATCGGGCTGTGAACCGCAAAGTCAGCAGTTTGAAACTACCAGCTGCTCCGCGGGAGAAAGAGGAGACTTTCTGCTCCCGTAAAGATTTACAGCCTCGGAAACCCTGTGCAGGGTCACTATGAGTCCGAACCGACTCCACGGCACATAACAACAACCACAATTTGTATGGGTACTTCTTGAAACATTTTAAGGACATTCTTCCTCCTGCCTGTCCAAATTAATTTCTTTGCGTCCTCTCAGATCCTTTGCTTTCTACCTACCAACACTGGGTTAGAGGAAATGGTATGGGAAGAGACAGAAGTCAGAAGACAAAGGGGCAGGGGGGTGAACAAGAAGGACTTGAGAAGGGGTATTTAGTTTTCTGAAGGTTCATGGTCTTACTTTAGAAACATTTGAATGAACAGTACATGAAATAGAAGTGAAATCATTCCTGTCTTCTAAAGGTAGAGCCATGGTTCGAGTCCTTAGAAGGATGAAGGACAAGCAGCTCTCCTAAGTGGGAAGGTCCACAGAGAACTGATAGAATGTAGATACAGCCCCTGCCTTTTGATGGATTTCATTGGAAGGCAGAGGGACTCTTTATATGAGGAAACTGGGGTCATGTGAGATAAGGAAAGAAAACGAAAATTATTTGTGTGGCCATATTTTTTTACTTCACCTTTCCTTTACTTCACCTTGACTTTGGTTTCAGCCTCTCCCAAAGCTGTTGTTTATCAGTCTGATAGACCTATTAGCAGTGCCTGGGAAGGTCTGTGTTGAAGGGAGGGTGGGGTGGAGGACAGTGGCTGAGTAGAAGGCTGCACGGTGGGCTGTTGTTACGTGCCATCAAGTTGATTCTGACTGTATCGACCCTGCCTTACAGTTCAAACCGACCTATGCAGGTCCAGTGCTTATCCTACAGAGCCACACCAGGACTAGATAATAGTAATTTTTGAATGATATACAGATTTTACCTCACCCTTTTACTCATATTTTCATCCAGTCCATCAACAACACTATGCTCTTGATTTGGACTTTGTCCTTTTCTGAGTACTGACTCAGAAGCATTATGTAAATCATTTCCCTGCTTTGGGGAAAATGCTCAAGTTCTCCATCAGTAAAATGAGATGATTGATGATTATCTGGTTACTTGGAAACTCACAGATGGTAAGCAGGGACCTGGTGTGATGCTAAGGAGAGAAGGACTTCTTGAGACTCAGAGTAAAATACTTCCCAATGGAAGAACCAGCTACCCAGGTAGCACTCTGTTCTTCTTGGCCTGAACACTAAGGAGATACAGAAAGAAGCAGGCTCAAATCTTCCCTGGGAAGCCCCTAGGCTAATGTAGAAATCAAGCTCAGACCCAGGGACAGGCAGACATTGAACTTGAAGCAGTATAGCTAGCACCCTAAAGATAGGAGGGAGTTCAACTCAGCCAGCCTGGAGCCATAGTCTTTGAGTGTTGGGAAGTTACTGGGAACAAGACAAAAAGGGAGAAAGTGGAGCAAAGAGAAAGAACTTCCTGGGACACTAATTTTCCTATAAGCAGTTGGACATAATCTTCTTAGTAATAACTGCAGTAACTAATGTGTCAAACAGGTGTGTCCATTGTCAAGTGCTTACTATTAACCAGTGGAGTCCGGGTGTGATGCTGTAGGATAAGCACTGGACTGCTAACTGCTAAGTTGGCAGTTCAAATCCACCAGCCACTCCTTGGAATCCTATACAGGGGTCATTGTGAGTCGAAACCGACTTGAAGGCACTTAACAACGATGAACCAGGCACCAGAATATAACAAAAAAGTCAAGAGTGAATGTTTTAGTGATGCGTTTTTCTTTATCTTTATAACCCATGAAGGAAGTTGGTATCCCAGTTTTAGAAATGAGGAAACAAGGCTCAAAAGAGATTGGTAAGTAGCAGAACTCTTAACTGAAACCCAGGTATCCTGCCTGTGGATTCAGACTTTAAACTGCTGTCTTCACAGCACACCTGATGAACCACTCTGACATCTGTGCCGGGTCCCCTCTTGCTACTGAGCCTCTCCCCAAAGGAGCCGTGAGGAGATAGGAGTGGCAACACAAACACGTTGTGCTTCCGTCTCCTGAAGTACTGCAGGGAAGGTCAGGTGGAACAGGACACTGTTAAACACAGTAGGATTGCAGCATGCTTCTCCTTGTTCCATTTTTCAGTTACCACCCAGACTTAAACATGAGACTTCATTCAAACAAGTTTTATTGTGCTTTTACAGTATGATACAACTTTGCATTTCAAACTAATGTTTTCACCATCTGTTTGTGATTTCCCTGTGGCAAACCTCTCAGATCTCCCCTGAGAAAGGGCATAGTTTACCACTCCTTTGTTGGTCTTACTTCCTTTGTTGACTCTTACTCATCTTGAGTTACAGAAGGTTCAATTCAACAAATATTTACAGAAAAATTCTTTCTGCTCCCTCGAAGATTTAAAAGCCTCAGAAACCGATGCAGGGTCACTATGAGCTGGAACCAACTCAATGGCACTTAGCAACAACAAAAAGTATTGGGAGAGAATTTAGAAATGAGTCAGGCAATCTTGCCTGCCAGAAACTTATAATTTAGTTTTTTAAAAAGTAAAGTAAGTGACCAGAGAGCCACAAGTCTGTGTGAGAATTCAGAGAACAAAAGGCTTTAAGTGGAGGCTGATTTGAGGTAGGAATAGGGGATGATTGGGTGTCCCTTAGTGTGTTGCTCTCAGATAAGCACTGGACTGCTTAACCACAAGGTCAGTGGTTCAAACCCAGCAGTCATTCCTTGAAAACTGTATACGAGGTCACTATGAGCCTGAACCAACTCAGCAGCACTTAACAACAAGGAGTTTTTTAGGTAAGAGTGGTGAGAAAGCATTTCAGCTGAGGAATGGGAGCATAAGTAAGGCATGGAGTCTGGGAATCTTTTTTAGGTAGAATAGTGAGAAATGTAGCTGAGCTAAAGCATAAGGAGTATTCCCAACCTGCTGCCATCGAGTTGAGTCCAACTCATAGTGATCCCGAATAGGGTTTCCAAGACTATAGATCTTTACAGGAGCAGATAGCCTAATCTTTCTCTCTCGAACTGGCTGGTGGGTTTGAATGACCTTGTGATTAACAGTCCAGTGCTTATTCTAAAATGCCACCAGGGCTCCAGAAAAAACTGCATTCGTCCCATATTAAGAAGAGTTTTAGATGCCATGCAGAATCACTTGTCCTTGAGTTGCTAGACCTGTTCTTGTTTCTAGGCATTCAAACATGCTGTTCCCTCTGCTTGGGACACTTTTCCTCTTTTTCCCTGCCACACTCTTCCCACCCACCAATAACAATAAGTAATAATTAAAAATAGTAAAATGATGATTTCAAGTACTATATAGAAAAGTTGTGACAGAGTATAATTGCTTTATGAATTTTGTAAGACCAATGACTTATTCATTGCAAATACCTTTTTTGACAACATAAGTGGTCACTATAAATGTGGACCTCATCAGATGGAATGCACAGGAATCAAATTGGCTACATCTGTGGGAAGAAATAATAGAGCTCAGTATCTCCAGGCAAAATAAAGCTAGAGGTCAACTGTAGAACTGCCCATCGATTGCTAATATGCATGTTCAGGTTGAAGCTGAAGAAAATTAAAACAAGTCCATGAGAGCCAAAATAATGATATTGAATATAGCCCACCTGAATTTAGAAATCATCTCAAGAAGAGATTGAATACTGTAGACACTAATGACCAAAGACGAGAGGAGTTGTGGGATGGCATCAAGAACACCATACAGTAAGAAAGCAAAAGGTCATATAAAAGACAGGAAAGAAAGAAAAGACCAGAGTGGATGTCAGAAGATACTCCGAAAGTTGCTCTTGAACACAGAAACTAAAGTCACTGGAAGAAATGAGGAAGTAAAAGACCTGAACAGAGTATTTAAAACGGCAGCTCAAGAAGACATAGTCA